GTGCATCAACACGATTCACCAATTGCTCTAATCCTATCGTTGATCACATCAACTTAATCACTCAGGTAATAAAACCTTGTATTTCAAATGAGCATAATAACATGTTAACTGATACTCCTTCAAATGCTGAGATTTGGAATGCTGTTAAAAGCATTGGTGCTCTTAAAGCCCCAGGGCCTGATGGAATCCATGCCAGTTTCTACTAGGAATGTTGGGAGTTTGTGGGACCTTCAGTGTGCAACATGGTGAAAGACCTTTTTTTGTAAATAATACCAGTCTCAAATTAATTAATCATACAAATATTACCCTAATTCCGAAAGTGGAGAATATGGAGATTGTCAATAATTATCGCCCAATTAGTCTTTGTAATGTTAGTTACAAAATTATAACGAAAGTCATGATTCCTTCATTTGTGTATCTCGCTCAACTAGGGACCTTTTGCTCTGGGTAGATCTATATAGGATAACATTCTTATTGCTCATGAATTGGTCTCAAGTTTTAACAGGAAGAAAGGCATGAGTGGCGAGCTAGCTATCAAGCTAGACTTGGAAATAACGTATGATCTTCTAAATTGGGATTATATCAAGTGTGTGTTGGCAATGTTTGGTTTCTATAATAAGTGGATTAATTTAATTATGGAATGTATCTCTTCTACATCATTCTCAATCAATATTAAGGGTGAGTCTCATGGCTACTTCTGCGCAAGTAGAGGTATTAGGCAAGGTGACCCCTTATCCCCCTACATTTTCATTCTTTGCATGGAACCCTTAATTAGAAGTTTGAATGACTTAGCGTATACCCCAAAAACCCATATTAGTCTGCTCACTTCCCCTTTTGGCTACAAAGTCTCGAATTTAGACTTTGCGGATGACTGCCTTATCTTTGCCAAGGCAACTACAAAGGGTGCCAGAAAAGTTTTAGAGGTTTTAAATAAGTTTGCAAATGCTTCAAGTCAACAAATAAATTTTAACAAATCTTCTTAACCAGGCAAAGAATGAAATTGTTAATATTCTCCAAATCCAACATAAAACTACCATTGATAAATATCTTGGTATGCATAACATTGTGTTTTGGAATGACCCCATGAATGGAAACAAGATAATCATGAGGATTAAGCAAAAAACTTGCAGGTTGGAAGGCAAACACCCTTTCTAAGGCGGGGGTTGGAAGGCAAACACCCTTTCTAAGGCGGGGAGACTTACGCTTGTCCAATCTAACCTTACAAGTATGCCTAATCATATAATGTCTTGCTTCAAATGCCCTTATAAACTAACCAGTCAATTAAATAGAGAATGCAGACAGTTTTTTTTGGGTAATAATCATAAGTGTAACCCCGTGAGTTGGAAGAAAATATGTAGACCAAAGAATGCGGGTGGTTTAGGTATCAGGAACCTAGACCATTTCAATAAGGCGTGTCTTGCTAAACTAGGATGGAACCATAAGGATAACTGGTGGGCTAATATAGTCAAAAGGAAATACCTTAGACATGATACTTTTTTGGATACTAGAGCTAAACAAAACCACTCGTTCACCTGGAAAGGAATTCTAGGATCCAAAGACATTATCAGTAATGGTATGAGGTGGGTGATCGATGATGGCAAGGACTTCTTGTTCTGGACTCATAACTGGGTTTTTCCTCACCCTTTCTTCCATCTCATACTAGAGAATCAAGGACATCAAATCCAATATGACACCAATGTTGCAGAGTTTATTGTTGATGGTCATTGGGATAGAAACATTTTAAGTCAAGTGATAGACAATTATATTGTTAATAAAATTTGTGACATTCCTATTCCTCTTCATTCCTCCAAGGACGCTGTTGTTTGGGGTCCAAGTAATAATGGTAGTTTCTCGGTTGAATCTACGACTTGGCTCCAAATGGAAGACATTGGCCCTTCACTGGTTTTGGAAACAAATCTTGCCTCCCAAAGTTAAGTTGTTTGCCTGGAGCCTCATCAAGGGTAAGTTACAAACTAAGAAGAAACTAAGCAAGTTCATAACTAATATGAATGATCAGTGTCCTTTGTGTAACAACCACGAGGAAGATCATGATCATCTATTTCTCCATTGTCAGTATGCTAGGCAAGTTTGGAGTTGCTCTAATGATATGTCATTATCAAATATTGATATTAACCTTAAGATAAGTGACTGGCTTGGAGACCTTTCTCATCGGAATAAGAATGTTGTAAGTAATTTAAGTAAAGCTCTGGCTATTTGCTAGCAGATTTGGAATGATAAAAATAGTAGCATCTTCATGAATGAAAAACCTTTGCATAGTAGATCTTTTCTTCGAGCTATGGCTACGATAAATGATTACTTCAAGGATAATGTTGCTAACCTAGAGAATGCAGAAGTGCCAATTGAAAATAACTTGATCAAGTGGAAATGTCCAATGTCTCCTTACGTTAAAATAAATTTCGATGGGTCGGTGTCAAACTCTTTGGCTGCCGGAGGCTTCGTTATTAAGAACCGGAATAGCAAACCTATCCTCATCTGTGCTATGAACCTAGGGTCTTCCACCATTAACGTTGCTAAGGCTCTAGCATTACGTGAAGCTCCGATCTGGGCTAGGAGGAGGAGCCTGACGCATGTGTTAGTGAAGAGTGATTCTAAGATTATCATTGATCCTGTCTGTGGTGTCTATGAAGTGTCGTGGAATTTGAGATCTATTATTGAAGATATCAGGTGGTGTGCCTCGTCCTTCCAAGATATCAAGTGGGGGCATGTGTTCAAGGAAGCAAATTTTGTTGCAAATGCTATGGCGTATGTTGGGCTTAAGATTGTTAACCTTTGTATTTGGGATGCTTGTCTTCCTGTGGAAGCAAACTTGGCCCTCCTCGTTGATTGTAATGGCTCCAGCTATGTGAAGGGTTTCTCTCTTTAATGAATTTTCTTTCCTATAAAAAAAGAAAAAGAAAATGATAACGTTCCCAAATTAGTTTTTGATTTTCAGTTTTGATTTTTTTATTTAATATTTTTTTTGGTAAATATTTTTTTTTAGTATTACTACTTAAATCAATTACAAATCTAAACTGCCTATTAATAGAACTCTGATTGTAAACCAAAACTATATGAAATTACTATTTTAACCTCCTCATCAAAAATTGAACAAAAATAAAAAAATATGAGCAATTTAGTAAATACAGAATCATAAATTTTGCTGTTTTTTACAGTAACCTCACAACCAGGTTAATATATCATGCCCTATTTAAAAAATTTTAAAAAAAATATTCATCATTATCCCAATTTTCATAACTGATTTTTTTTTTTTTAATTTTAAACCTAATCATCTCATAATATAAAAAAAAAACAAAATGAAATGTATTGTTCACACAGTGCATGTGGATATCTACTCGTTTATATTAATCAAAGGGAAAACCAATTAATTAAGAGCTTTTCTCAATCTATTCATGCATATTGACTCCTAACTGGTATATTTGACACGTGGCATTTTTAATTGGGTTACCACTTGACACTGCCATATGGCGGGAACATTCTTGAAGATCTTGGAAATATATTTGCTCACAATTCCAAAATAGTGGTAATATTTACCACCTTTTTTTTGGTTATTCGTTGGATGAGTTTAAATTGATCTATTTATTATACAAATTTCAAAATTTAAGCTCATTGAATGATAATTAATAGAATAATGAGTATTACAAACATTTTAAGATGATGAGCAAAAACACATCTTTTCTCAAACTAGAGCTTCTCGACTCCTAGCTTGTACCAAGTAGTAACAGTAAGTCTACCAATTATTTTATTTTACACATATTCGTACACACACTTCTTTAAATAAACTACAAGAAATATGAAGAACTCTGTTCTAAATTCTGTTTAAAATATTGAGAATCCAATAAGGTTATAGTTTAGTGGGTATAGCAAAAGCGATTAGAAGTACGCTGTGTACCAACATCTAGTGCTTTGTACAGTTGGATGATGTCCCTCTTACTTTGGTCTTGTGTTGTTGGGGTAAAGAATAAAACTGTAAAGATGCTCATCCATATGAATCTGTCCACCCAAGTCTATGGATTATGGAATGGCTGAAAAACTGGCTGTCAAAACTGCTTTGGGGGAAGACCCGTTTGGTGAGCAGGATGAGATGAGTTATTTCTAATTAAATTTGACTTGTAGCCTAGCTAATATTTGGTGAGAAAAATTGTAACATGAACTAGATTGGCTATAAATCTGAAATAAGGGAAAATATGATGGGTTGTGTAACCCAATCACACACATGAGTTATGCAATGCATATCTATCAATCTAATCATATTCCTAAGACCCAATCTCATCAAGTTCACCAAACAAGCTACAATTTGCTATATTGGTTTCAGTTTCATAGGACCACACTCATCAGACTTTATGATCCTAACTTATCCCATTATGATAATTAACAAGAAAATTTGGAATTCATGCATTATGATGTGTTAGAACAGAACTTGGAATATGTTCTTTGCCATTATGCCCATTTATTTGAGCCTTACCAAACACCTCTGGAAAATTCTCTAATTATCAATTTCCTTTTGCCCTATTGGTATATGCTTGGAAAGTCTTATCACGTGGATAACTTTGGTAAAAATTGTAGGCCTAGGGTTCATAAAGCAATGAAGCAGGAGTTGAACTCTGGTCATGAGTGTGAAACTAAATGATCATGTTACCTTGTTTAATGTCATTTATGACGCACATATTAGATCGAATTGGATAATTCACTAAATTTAAATTATGTTGATGTAAGGCATGAAGCTTGATTTCCAACTTCTAAATTTTGTCCAAATTAAATGAGTTAAATAGATTTAATTATAATTTAAAGGGCTTGATATCGTACCATTTTATTAGGATTGGAAATGATAAGTTTTCTTCATGACTAATTCATCTTCTACCTACAAATTGAACAAAATTTAGAAATTAGCTTTCACTTCATCCTTTAACATACATGAATCTATTGAGTTATCCCAATCCATGAAACATCACAAGAGGGAACGGAGAATAATCATAGTGAAATATGAACAAACTATAGTAAATTTTAATTGCACTCTTGATATAGCTATGTACAAATACATATAGAAATACCACCACCCCCCCCCCCCCCCCCCCCCCCCCCAAAAAAAAAAATCCCCAAAAAACGAAGAAAATAAGGAACACAAATAGAGACTTCCCCATATTTCACCCTAGTTTACAGAGAACTCTTCTTGCAGTCGAAACTTCTGCTGTCTTGCAATGAAGGACTCAACCTTGCTTCGAAACTCCTCGTTACTCATACCGTCTTCGGGGTACTCGCTCCCTACCAATTTCCCGCCAGACTGAACATTTTCCTTGAATTTCTCCGTCTCTGATCGTTTCAGTAAGTGCCGCGAGCTCTTGCAAACCGCGCGTTCTAAATTCTCTGACTGACTCCTTGTGAACTTCTTGACTTCCGAAGTATGAGGAGCTTGCTCAGAAACTATACTATCCTCGGGCCTTTTTTTTATGGCCTGGTACTCAATCCCATCGCCACGAAGTTTTTGATTCTTTTCGCTGTTCTGAACAAACTCTTCGTAAAGATCACCACCCGAGCTGTCTGTGCTAGAGTCTTTAGCTGAAAATCTGCCCGACTTGGCGTAGAGAATGATAACTATTACATTTCCAACGACAAACACGAAGCGAGGACTTACCATGAAGCCGGATATGTCTTTGAAGTAAGAGGCAGAGTTCTTGACAGCCTGAGGGAGTTGGACAGAAAACCTGGAAAGCAGGAGCAGAACAGCAAGCACCTCTATCAACCGAAAGAGTTTTGCGATTTTTCGAAGCTGGCGGTATTTCAAGATTGCGTTTGCCTTCTCAGCTTTGATGTCATAAAAATTGATTGAATCCATTTTTTGACAACGGGGTTGAGTGAGTGAAATCAATGAAAATCCTGAAAAGGTCGAAGATTTTGCGTTTCTCACTCGAAAAGGATTCGAGCCTTGTTCGAGGATTCGCAACCTACCATGTCTCTGATGAGAGCCAGTAGGGGTACTACTATCAGAGTAGTAGATATTGTGAGGATTTTGACTATTGGAAGCATGAAGAGAGAGAGAGAGAGAGAGAGGAAATGAAGTGAAATAAATTGGATTATGAGATGTTTTGTGTTATGTGTGTGTTGTTGAACCCTTTACATGGTGCAGGCTTTGTATTTATAGGCCATGAGAATATGTAACTTTTTCTTTTTTAAATTTTAGGAGAATAGCTTTTCTATCTTTTTTTAATATTCCATTCATTTGCTTTATTTTAAATTTGCAAATTGAGGGTTTATGCAAGGCTCCATTAAACTAAGGCTATCCTGATGCATGATTATTTTTCTAGAATATGGTACTACACTTGACTAGGATTAGGATATTAAAGAGCATGGAATATAATATTAGCGAAGAATTATTCACCTACACACTAAAATCTCATAAGTTCGATTCTTCATTTTCCTTATATTGTTTGTCAAAATAAAAGTTGAAAATTACCAACTGCGTATTGGTAGTATCCTTCTTTCTTTTTCAATAATAAAAGAAACAACAGAAAAGAAGAAATGATCTGTTAGATGTGTCCAGTGCTAAGAAAGTACATTCAAATAAAATTTTACTTGATATTAATCTAACAACATCATATGTCTGAAATATCTAAATCAACATATTAACATATATATCTTTTATTTATACTTCAAATGAACATATTAAGATAAATAATCACAATAAGTAACACAGTAGTAAGGGCGCGGACTACGGCTTCCCAATAAACAAAAAATTATGGGAGATCTCGAGTTCGGTGCCCCAAGTTGGTGAATTTGCTTGACTATGGTCACGGACAGAAAGAAATTCTCTATAGGCTCTCTTGGCTTGGAATGAATAGATAACCAGAGCTTGCTACCAGATGTCCTTTAAAATTAAAAAAAAAAAAAACATATTAAGATAAATTATTGGTACTTGACTTCCACAGTCCAGGTGGCAAACACAGATACAAATCCATATCCTTGTCATCTAGATTCTAGGCTCAATTTCTTACTCACTAAGAATGTGCCAAGTAAGACCTAACTTTCTCTTGCTTTATTTCATTTCTTTTTCTTCAAATAACTTCTTTTAATTAGGACATTACCTTTTCTTCTTTTAGTGTGGCTTTCAGTTGCTTCCGTGCCCTAATTGACCCACCAAAAATAATGTGCCTCTCTTTTACTTGTGGACCACAAGGCTGTGTGGCACCTTATGAATCATAATGTTGGTTGTTTTACATCTTCCCCATCAATCATGGAATTCACCTTAAAAAATCAGCTTTTTGTAAATCACATGATGTGTAATACGTTCGTAAGTCATTTATGTGGACATCATGACATGAATAAAAGGAAGTTAGAGCGAAACTCAAACAATTTGTACATATAATTACTAAAATTGAGAGTATTAGGAAGTTCTAATGAATGTGTTCTTCTCCATAAGGTGTACGGATTGCTTAAGGCACGTTTATGTAAAGGTAATCGGAATCAAAATGCGGAATTAAATTTTGATTATAGGATACTTTAGTATTTACCAAATATTGGGAATAAAAAAGTTGGTGGAATCCACGCAAATTTTGGAATCCAACTTCAAAATTTGGAGGAATTGAATTCCCTACATTTAGGTGGGAATTGAATTTCGAGTTGTTGGGGGAATCATAATGGATTTTTCCTCCCCATTATACCCTCACTTATTTCTAAAAGAATACAGGTATTAGTACTGAGACCACTAAGGTGAAGCCGAATGCATCTGGTTCTGGTTTTGAGAGTTTGGAAAGAATTGATGTAGAGAAAAGTTCAGAGGAGAATGTTGATGTGCAGGTGAATTTCAAGGCTAAAAATATTGGTGAATAAAGCAATATTTCAAAACAGGTTGATCCTAGGGAGAATGTTAAAACAAAGGATGCACAAATTGTTCAAGCAAATGGGAAAAAGAAGGTGGGAAGGCCTAGACGCAATTAAAGGATGTGGTTGATAAACCTTTAGATGACCTTCATTTCAATGTTGGAGTCTCATCTAAGTTTACTACTAAAGGGAGAGTTATTCGTAAACCCAAATTTGATCCCAAAGTAGTATTGTGGTAGCAAAATTTGGCAATCTTCAGTCTTGATGAAATTGTACCTACAAAACAAATAAACATCTTTGATCAAGGCCAAAGCCACAGGCGCCTATGAGGTTTTTTTTTTTTTTTTTTTAGGGGGGGGGGGGGGGGTGGGGGTGCTTGACTAATGGATCTTTGATGTCTAAGTTAGTTTCTTTAAAAAGAAAGTGTTTAGGGCTTAAGTGCGTAGCCAAAGCTACAGAAGTTTGTGAGATGAGGTATTTATAGGGAGATGGTGGGCCTAGATGTAGGATTTCACCCTACACGTGGCGGCTTCAAGTCATTCGTAGGATGAAAGAAGAAAGAATAATCCCGAGATATTAATTATTAGATAATATTTTAGGATGATCATGGAAGTATCCTTAATTTGATGTGATGAGGATACCTTGTTTGAGTTGATCTTCAATTTAGGAGAGTGTTAAAGGTAGGATTTTGTAATTAATCCCATCTTTAATGCCTTTTACTTTTCTTCCTTGCCACGAGCAAGGGAACTTGGTGATGTTGTAATCTATAGCTCAAGCCTTCAGGGATTTTGGATTGCGCGTGGGAATATTTGTGGGCCCTGCCTATTTAGTGAGGGCATTCTTTTCTTCGTCAAAAAAAAGTTCACATGTCGTCTCTAGGATTTTGAAATTATTTTTGGCTTCATAAATGCCCCACCCCTGCAGGCAGAAAAGGGCAAGAGATGTAGAAAATCCCAAGCTGAGTAGGCAAACAGAGAGTTGTTTCTTGATTTGTTGTAGATTCTGCATTTTGACTTGGATTTAAAGTTTTTTAGGAAAGAGAAACCAATTGTTACCAAAACTTGTTTAAGTCTACCTTAAGTAGAGAGTTAAATAAATTTGGAGCACAATTTTTATCCCAACAAGAAAAAGAGACAACTAGAGGAAATTGTACTCCATCCCCTAGTCTTCTTCTTTGCTCGCTCTTGCAAAGAGTTGATCGTCGTTGTTCTTTTTCTTCATGTTGTACCAAGGTAAGAAAAAACTAAATTTTTCTTCTTCCTCCTTTCTTTTTATTTTTTTGGAACCGTGGTGCTTGACAGGAAGGTTCGACTCGGGTCGAGGTTTGAATTGGCTTGGCTTCTACTGTGAATGAGGGTCGTTGAGGCGCTGTGGACTGGAATAGGATGGGCCTGGCACTGGGCTCAACTTTCTGGTTACTAGATAATCGTCTCAGGATGCACTACTGGAGGAAAGAGGCTGGGCCTAAAGGCCTGGCTCATTGACGTAGGGTAAAGGAAGGCTCGGGCCTCCCGTTTGTTATGGGTTGAGAGACATAGGTGACACACCCCAACCCGGAATGTCCACCTGGACTCCGAATCGAACTGTGTTGTCCAACACCAGGAGGGTGACGAAACCATAAGTGTAGTGGGGTGGAAAATGTGAATAAACTTAAATCTAAAAGTGCCTAAATATAAGAGTGCACTGGTGAGCAAAAATGAACCCATTTCACACGTGATGTTAGAGTATAAGTAAAGTACAGTAAAGTAGGATGAGAATTATACCATTGAAGGTAACCACCTATGCCGAGGTTTGCCAAGACTCCTCGTCGACACAAAAGCTTAGCTACTAAACCTGGAAGGGCGAAAAAAAAAGGGTGAGTGGGCCTAAAATAAAGTTTTATAAAACCTTTTGGAAAACATGATAACCTCTCACCGTAAAACAAGTATAGTTTCCAAAATATACATACTACGTATAGTATGAAAGAACTTACCATAGCCTGCATATCTCAAGAATTCAATACGTCACAATGTTTCGTAAGTAAGCACATGACATCCGTAATCACATAATCTCACATAAGAAAACATATCATATCGAGTGCTCATCAACACATGCTGACACACGAGTTCATGCAGAGGTATTCTGACATGAACAAGACTGGGTGTAACAATGATATACGCTGATAGTATTACAATCAAGTGAAGATTGGCGTTATACGCAGCACATATGAGTCCTAATTGCCTATAGAAATCTAGGACAGGATTGGCACCTCAATGGATCCAAAGTGAGTGTACGGTGCGATGTGCACATACACGTGAAAGATTGGCCCTGGCCCGAGTAAGTACTAACATCGATACAGCAAACGATGAGCAAATAACATAAATATCGTCATGCCATAGTGATTCGATAATTCTAGTCAACATAATATCATTCATAGCCGTAAATATAGTTACGGCATCAATAATAATATGCATACCTATGCATCCCATAGGGCGTAGCATAACTTCATAATTTCTATGAATGTGCTAAATCTTATAAACGTTACGCTAATCTAGGCATATTGTAGAAACTCTTTATGAAATGTATAAATGGAAACTAATAATTATATATATATACACACACACACTATATAAAAGAAAAGACCCACTCACAGTTACTTACGAGGTCGCAGTCAGTTGAAGTAGGATAGCCAGAGTCTCCGATAGTAATCGTACCTAAGCATAATATTGGAACCCATTAGTAAAACTCAATTAAAATATTTGAATTTGGAGAAACGAATGGTGGATTCAGAATCAATGAGTCGAAATACTCTAAGGACGGTCCCGAGCAATTTTCATAAAAAGTCAACGACAAAGTCAACGGTCAACCCTAAAAAGTCAACCGAGACGCCGAGCAGGTCAACTACGTTAAAACTTCGAAATTTCACTAAATGGTGTCAAAAAATGGAATTGGGGCATCGAAATTAGCCTAGGAGGATTTCCAAGAAAATTTCGAAAAAGTCAACATAAGGAATATTCTAAGAATATTTCGAGAATATTTCTGGAATATTCTTATTCCTAACCCAATTCAGAAATGGGTCATATCGGCTGGTTCAGATCTAAGTTTGGGCTTGGGCCTTCCTTTTTTTATTTTTCTTCTTCTTCTTCGACCGTTGGTTTCTCCGAAATGGGAAACCGGAAGTTCATTGGCTCCGATCGACTCCACAACTTAACCAACACTAGCAACCTAATGTACCAAATTTAAGCTTAAAGGACGAGGAATCGAACTATACCATTACAACTCTCGATCGTGGCCGGAGTAGGCCGGAAAATACCTGCA